TAGAAGGGACAAAGGAGAGTGCTTAGTGCAGTCCACGCGCTCTGCACTGGAGGCAGGAGCTCTGGGGGCACCAACGCTGCCTTTCTTCTTCACCGACGTATTCCCAGCGCCTGGAACAGTGCCAATCACACAAGTTTGCTAATGAAAGATTGAAGTAGAAAAACCAGGCCATACTGTTCTAAGTGGCTTATTAGGGCCACACAGTCAGTTAGTGGCGGGGCCAGTCCTAGAACTCAGGTGATTCCGCTTTCACTAATTTGTATAATATCAACAGTGTTTCTATTTTGAGTCTTTTAGTCTTAGTTATTACATGAAAGACTTCATCTCCTCTTTTTTCTATATATTTTATTTTATTTTTCCATCATCATTGATCCCCATGAACCCTCCTCCAACCCCTCCCTGCAATCACCAGCTCCATCTCCCCTTAAGGCAGTTCAGTGGCCGGAGAACTGGAAGGATTTCCTGCCGGCAGTATCCACATGACATATTCTCTTCTTTCTTCCATCTTGAGCACAGTCGTCAGAGTTCTCTCCTTTCCTATTTCTTCCCCAGATGAATAGCTTGGTTAGCACTTACAGTGCATCTGAATTTGAATATAGATGCCCACACACACACACACGCGCGCGCACACACACACACATAGATACACAAGCACAGGCACTACTTCGTGTTCCTGGGGAGACATATTAAAATTCCTGACTGTATCAACCCTAGAGTCCTATATAATAAAAGCCTAATATGCTGTGTCTGACTGTTCATTTGACCGTTTGACCAGTTGCTATGACACACACTGACCACCAGGGGGCAGACCCTCTGACTGATAGGTTAGTTTGCTGCTGGAGTCTGGGCCATCGGGACTGGGTGTGACAGGCTGGACACACCCTGGAGCCCTTCCACGGCCCCTCCCTGCCCCGATAGTGCACTGGTGGGGTCCCTCGCCTGGCCTATGCCCTCTCACAATCCGGGACCCCTTGGGGGATGTCAGAGAGCTGGTTTCGGACCAAGCCCTGCAGGCCAGGCCAAGTGACTCCACCAGTGCACGAATCTGTGCACAGGTCCTCTCGTATGCTATAAGAATTCTTCATGTGAATTTCAACTTGACTGACTGCAAACCAATTTCTGCAATTCCGACCTTGCGTGTTTTTTTTTTTTTTTTAATTAGGGGCTCATATTTGAAACCACCATTTGCTGTTTGTTTCCAGACCACGGTGCTGTGGAGGGAGCAGCTACGTGGGCCTCCCACCCTAACTGACTGCTGTGCAGCGAGGAGCGAGGCTCAACCCCAGGTGCCCAGTGGACGGCCTGCCTGCGCTAGCTGGTCCAGGAAGCTGCCAGCTGGAGGCCCAAGGCCGGCTTTTAGCTGCCCATCACCAGAGGCTCCCCTCTCCCCAGCCGGCGATCAAACTCCCGGGGCTGAGGTCCCAGACGCCCTGAGGTGTTCCCCGACAGCACTTGCGGAAGTCTGTGCCTGAATCCTCTCCCCTTGGCACCAAAGTAACCGAACAGAATATTGCCATGGACAAGGCTACCTTCTCACTCGTGCCCTGAAAGGGAGCAAGGAGGACGCGAGGGCCCAGCCCTAGAGCACAGACACTTGGTGGCGCTGCCTGTCCTTCTGCGGTTGACCCGGCCTTGGAAGTTTTCGACTTCTCAGTGGGTCCTCAGCTCCTGAACATCACCTCAGTCCACGCACTTCTCTGCAGGAAGCCTGCCCTCCTCCCTGAGCACCACCTGGCTGGGCCCGCGGCTGTCGCTGCTCACAGGTCCCTGCTGCTACTTCTGTGCATGGACAGGGACACGGAGAGGCCCTCTTGCCCTCTCCTCCCCAAGCCTGCCTGCCTGTCGGTCTGTCTATCATCTATCTATCTATCTATCTATCTATCTATCTATCTACCTACCATCTATCATCTCTATCATTTATACTATATCTCACAGTGTCCCAGTGCCAAATCAAGGAAGGAAATAAACAGGTTTTAGTTATCTTCTCTCCCGGGGAATAACATTCCACTTCCTCCTACCTCCCTATTGTCAAACCCTAAATATAAGAACCAGAGAAATGGAATAAATGTCCCCGAAGAAATACTCCAAATCGCATTCTTGTCCTGGTTCCTGAACCCCTGAGCGTATTCCAGCGCACGCAGGCTCGTGCTGAGCAGTAGGTGGCTCAGGAATCCTTTTATTGCATTGAGAGCTTTCGTTAAAAGTGTTTACCCAGCGACAAATGAGAACTTAAGCTTTTGGGTTGACTGGCTTTTTCCTAAGAACTGTCCAATCCTAAGGCTCAGAGAAGGGTTCCCCATTTTCATCTTCTGCAAAGTGAAACGTCAGGTGAGCTGCTGGCAGCTGTGCAGACTGCTGGTGCTTCTGTGCGGTTGTCTCGGTTTCCGCGTGGAAAGATGACCGGGATCCCCAGAAGCCCCTGGGCGGCAGCTGGAATTGTGACGGTGGTTCTCACGGTGCTGAGGACGCCCCTGGCTCACCGCAGAGGGACCCCCGGTGAGTGCTGGGCAGCTGCTCTGCCAGCCCCCAGGCCTGGAGGTTCTGGGGGCTCAGGGGCTTGGGGTTGGTGTGCTGCACTCTGAAGTCTCAGGTAGACTTGGAAGGGCTCCCATGACAGTCCAGATGTCTCCGCCTTAGAAAAAAGAGTCTGCTACGTTCTTTTCTCCAACCTCTGCAGCTGAAAGGAGGGTAGTGTCTTTTTTTTTTTTTTTAATGTTTTTATTGATTTCAGAGCGTAAAGGAGAGGGAGAGGGAGATAAAAACATCAATGAGAGAGAATCACTGATCGGTTGCCTCCTGCACACCCCGCACTGGGAATTGAGCCGGTAACCCTGCATGTGCCCTTGACTGGAATCAAACCTGGGACCCTTCAGTTCACAGGCCGATGCTCTGTCCACTGAGCCAAACCAGCTAGGGCGAAAGGAGGATACTTTCTCTCAGGGAATGGGCTTTGGGATCCCAGAGTTGGAAGAAAAAGTACATTTTTACCAAAACAAAGTATTGAACTACTATTACTTTACCCTCTTTAATCCTCAACTGAGGATATACCCATTGATTTAATTAATTAATTAATTTTAATTTTTACCCATTGATTTTATTTTTTAATATATTTTATTGATTTTTTACAGAGAGGAAGGGAGAGGGATAGAGAGCTAGAAATATCGATGAGAGAGAAACATCGATCAGCTGCCACCTGCACACTCCCAACTGGGGATGTGCCCACAACCAAGGTACATGACCTTGACCGGAATCGAACCCGGGACCCTTGAGTCCACAGGCTGACGTTCTATCCACTGAGCCAAACCAGTCAGGGCTACCCATTGATTTTAGAGAGAGGAAGGGAGCAAGAGAGAGAAGCATAGACCAGTTGCCTCCTGTATGCACCCAGACGGGATCGAACCCACAACCTTTTCCATGTATGGGATGATGAAGTTGAAGTTATCAGTCTTTTCTCCTTATGGTTAGTGTTTTGAACGATCTGTGTGAGAAGTCTTTACCACCCAGAGTCATGAAGGTGGTGTAGTACGGCCTGTTCACGCAGGTGTAGTTGCATCTGGTGCGAGGCCCATGCCCGCCTTGCTCTCTGCCTCCTCATTGGGACACCGTTTATTAACAACAGCACCATTTCCCACTGAGCTACAATGCCACCGTGGTCGTAAACTTACTGTAAATATATGCCTGGAACTAATTTTGATATATAGTTTGCCATCTGTTTATTTTCCTATGTCTGTGTCAATAACACAGTGTACAATTACCAGTTTTATTTGATATTTTGGTATTTAGTAGAGAAAAATTTTTCATAATATTTACTTCTTCAAGAGTAGTTTGGCTAATCCTTGCTATTAAATTTTAGAATCTCCCTGGTGTGGCTCAGTGGATAGAGTGTAGGCCTACACACCTAAGGGTCAAAGGTTCGATTCTCAGTCAAGGGCACATACCTGGGTTGCAGGTTCGATCCCCGGCCATGGTTGGGGCACGTGTGGGAGGCCATTAATCAATGTATTTCTCTCACATCGATGTTTCTCTCTCACTCTCATCATTCCCTCCCTTCCACTCTCTAAAAACACCAATAGAAAAAATATCCTTGCATGAGGATTAATAACAACAACAAAATTTTAGAATCATTTTGTAAAGTTTTAAATAATTAAAAACTATAGGAATTTTAATTGATATGTATAAAATCCATAAATTCACTTGGCATAATTGTCATCTTTATTCAAAATATATCTTTTTATTTATTTGGGAATCTTTTGATATGTCTCATCAAATTTCATTATTTCCTTCAAGAAATCTTGTATATCTTTTGTAGGTCTTATTCCTAGATAAATTTTTTTAAATGTGGTAATAATTGAAAAATTGTTTTTGGTCTATATAATGTTTTAAAATACATCTTGTATGAAGCTACTTGCTGAACTATCGCTTTACATCCATTTAGCAATAGATTGTTTGGATTTCTTTATTCGCAGATCCCTTATATGCAAATACTGACAGTTTTATGTCTTCGTTACCAATCATTCACTGTTCCATTGGTTTTCCTGCTTTACCTTCGGTTTTCTCTAATAAATGCTCCGTTCAGGGCTTGAGGCCGAGAAGGCATCGAACTCCTTCCTGGGGATAAAATTCGGAGGGTTGAGAGCAGGTTTTATTGAGCCGCGTGGCTGTACTGGTGTCTCCCTTCCCCAGCGCCCGCCGAGTGGGTGGTTGACACAGGCCCTCCCCCCGCAGGGGACTTCGTGTACCAGTTTAAGGGCACCTGCTACTTCACCAACGGGACGCAGCGCGTGCGGCTCGTGGCCACGGAAATCTACAACCGACAGGAGATCGTGCGCTTCGACAGCGACGTGGGGGTGTTCGTGGCTGTCACGGAGCTGGGGCGGCCCCACGCCGAGAGCTGGAACAGCCAGGAGGACCTGCTGCTGGTGTACCGGGCGCAGGTGGACGTGCTGTGCAGACACAACTACAAGGAGATGGCTCCCTTCACTGTGCAGCGGCGAGGTGGGCGGGCGGCTCCTCGCGCAGCCTCGCGCGGAGGCCGGGAAGGGATCTAATGTGGTTGCCCAAGATCCCGGTGGTCCTGGGGTTCACCTTCCCGGGAGAAGTGGAGGCAGGCGGGGGAGGGGCTTGGCATCCAGGCGGGAGGAACTCTGCCTTGGGCGGCGCTGGCGGTCCCTGCTCGGAACTCAGTCCTCCCTCGGTCACAAGGCCCTGCCCACGGGCCCCTTACTGGGCTCCTGTGGCGCCTGGACCGCCCGCGGGTCAGAGCTGGTCCCCGCGCTGTGCACATGTGTGTAGGGATATGCACACACGCAGAGCTTAAAAATGATCAGTCCATGTTGCAAAGAGTTTCACATAAATTATCCTGTTTAATAAACAAGCAAACACCGAGTAAAGGTATTATTTCCCTAGAAAGCAGGCTTACAAATTATTGGTAGCCGGTTCATACCCAGGGCGGGGATTCTAATGAAGATGATTTGAAACCCGTGTCCCTCTGCTGCCGTGAGAAAGGAGGGCCTGGGCGTGG